GTTGGCACTCTTTCCAGTGCCTCGGTGTAGCCAGTGGTTAGCTTGTCTTCCTTTTTCTGTTCCGCTGATTTACTCACAGTCGGACTAGCAGCCTGAGAAGCAAGACCAAATTGCAGTTGAGAATTGAGGTATAACAGCTGATTGTTGGCTACACAGTCCTCATCAGGTGTGACAAACAAATCGACTCTCTACACTTGTTACCTGCTGACTTGGGGGAGGAGCTCTGTAATCAGTGCCACCTTACCTCAGATGGACTCAATCCCATTACCTGGACTAAAGAAGACTGGAGCACGATTTAACAAAAAATACAAATCGAAATGTCCCCTCTTAAGAAGTCAAATCAAAACAAACCCACATATTATAGAAGTGCATACATACAGTTTATATCAACTAAGCAAATCAAGAGTATCTTGTTCCACATACATATTGTTTCAGAAACATCCATTCATGAGCAAAATGAATGTGCACCTCCCTCTCAGCCTAAGAAAACGACTTTTATTAAAGATGATTTGATTTACAACGTGCCAAAGGAGACTGTCGGCTCAGTGACACACACTGTTGTGTGATTGATGCCAGCGGGTCTTCTCATCACCAAAAGTGTTTTTATAACCCTAATCTCTTCCTTAACCCAAAATAAAACGTCAAGAGACCTCTAACAGAGTTACAGTGGTTCACTATTGCACACACACAGACTCTGAAACGAGGGTCCTGTTTGTTAAAGCTCCACACATAAACAATGTTAAGCCATCAACACACAGGCTTCCAGTTATTTCGAATGGTGTCATAATACTGAGTATTGTGTCTGTTGTTTAAAAAAACACTGTGAAGTGTTTAGTGAAAAGTGTGAGGTGGAGAATGTGCCGATATATGAAAACATTTCTGTTCAATGTAGCTCTTTAGTAAACCGCCATGTCCGTTATCAGAGACTATTTACCTGCTTTGCTTTGCTTGTTTGTCTTACAGATTTTTTAGTAGAAACACTGTTTCTTTTTTAGCAATAACTTTTTACTGTTTTTTTTATTTTTTTATTTAACCTTTATTTAACCAGGAAAAAGTCTCATTTAGATTAAAAATCTCTTTTACAAGAGCGTCCTGGCCAAGACAGGCAGCAGCACAATTACAGGGTTTCAGACATAAAACAATTTACATAAATAAAGGAATCACAAAATGAACCATTCATCAAAATCTGTCATAAGTCATCAGCAACAAAGCGATCAAAAAGGGCAACACGAGTTAGTGTACTTTACATTAACATAATTATGTCCAATAACAACAATCTACTGTTTTGGGACACTGCTATAGTCAGCCCCCACTGAGGACATTATGTCAGCCCAACATGAGTTTACTTTAAACCTAACCAAGAAATTCTGGTGTATAAGCCAAACTAGACACAACCTTTTGGTGGAAACGGTTAGGGCCTGAAAATAACACAAGACTTGATTAAGTTAAGGCCATGAAAGTGTTTCTTTCAGCTTAATGGTTCAGGCTCAAATATTGCGTCCAAAGCAGGGTTTTTTGTATTGTTTTGGCACATTTAGCAGTCTCCTGAATGAAAGCGAAACATAATAAACTGGAAGCATTAAATTAGATGGCACAACAGATGTTTATGTAACAACTAGCTGGATGTTTCAGGTTCTAATGGTATAATTTAAAAGAGGACTTTACACACACACAAACAATAAAGCTGGTAGAGTAAATCATCATTGGCAAACACTGAAGCCATAACAAGGCATGGTTTGAAGTTTAAAGTGCATCTCCACTTCCTACAAAAACTGCATTTATTTTATTATATTTGTTTTTTTCTGTCTTTCTCTTTCTCATTGAACTTGTCTAACATGATCAATACATTACTGGAACTGTATTTGTTAGCATACCTGTCATTGTGTATTGTTTAATCATGTTTTTCTCTTTTCCTTTGTCACTTTTTCTCCTGTTATCTTACCAATAAAGGAGGAAAAAAGAAGTTAAAACGCAGTCAGCGTCTCGCAGTTCAAGGACAAGTTGTCTGTCACAGCAAAATAAAAAGCAACAGCATTTTAACACACCATGGGATTTGAACACCATCAAGAGTCACACCTTATAAACCCACCAGAGCACAAAAACACATCTGACGTATATCCCATGATGTTTGCCAAAATCTATCAAAACATTTGTCCTTGTAAAGAGGAGACAAAGAGGCCTGGTAGGGAGCATGCTGCCCTTGCATCTGTCTGTCTGTGCCTATCAGCCCCTTGAGAAGTCATTGATCCGTACAGACCCTTTGCTCATATGCCCAGCAGACGCTGCAGCTACAGCAAAGACTTCTGCTCCTCCCTGACAGCACGACCATTTGAGTTTCCGTCAAGAACAGGCAGGAACCCTGCGGCTGTCAACCTTACAGAGCGGGATCAAATGAAACATGATGACAAGCCAACAGGCGGGAGTCTAAGATTTCTGACTAAAAGTGCACCTTTCATATCCTGGAGTTACCTTAATGTTTTGTTTAAAAAATGCTCACTCAATATTTCCTTTCACCTTTGGGCTCTATTTGAACTCATTGCTTGACTTTAACTGAGCTTTAATCTCTTTTAAAAACGGCCCTGAGTGCTAATATTCTCACTAAGGATCAATGTTCTTTAAGGTTCAACAGAAACTCAGTTGATTTGTCCTTTAAGTAGTTTTTAATGAGAGAGAACTCAGACGTTTGAGTTGTGATGATACATTGAAACCTTCTTCAATCATTCAGTGGGAGATAACAGCCTTCAGCGACCAGGATAATTAGCAAAGGGGACCAAATTTATGTAAATAGAATAATGAGCTACTCGGAGCAATAAGATGAAAAATGCTGTTTGACTTAATTGTGACACGATATTCCCTTTTATTTTGTTAGTTAGCTTTGGGTGTCATTTCTGGTATTTGGGACTTCGCTGAGCTCCCAAAGTAATTTTTGGAGAAATGGGAACATGAAGACTAAAAAAAAAAAAACACAGACTTTAGATCATCAGAGAGGTTTTTAATGAACCCCTGGTCAGCCAAACTTATTTGGGAGAGAAAACTCAGGAAAAGGCAAAGTTGTATCTCAAAAGGTTTGTTGTGAACACACTTTAGATACAAGTTTACTGACTTCTGCTTTCACTTTGACCTACTTCACATCTCCAGTGCAGAGTGGGATTATTACCAGCATTTCAAGTCTGTTTACAGTTGGCTGTAACTCAAAATAAGAAACATCTGACTGAGCCAAGCTGAACTATTTGCTTTACTACTGTACAATCTGATCAGGTAGCTATTTTGCATTACACCAATGTTCCCTGGTGACAGTTAATGCATAGGTGAGTGCCGTCTCATGAGAACTAATGTAATTATTGGAGTAGAGCAACATTTTAAACCACATTTCTAAAAAAGAAAATGGAATTGAGGTAATAGTTTGGAGGGATGCAAAACTTATTTTTGTTGCATTTGGATGTAGAAGAAGAGAACATTCCTTTTTTGATTAAGCCTATGTTAGGGCTGGCTAAGGCTTGGACTCATATGGTTATTATGCTATAGGTTTAGGCTGCTGGCACCCTGAGCTCTTCTCTCGCTCTCTTGCTCTCTTTTTCTCTCATTCTCTCTTTCTCACTATCTCTATCTCTCTGCATGCATTCACATCATATAACTGAATTTCACTAACTTGTATTGCATTTTAGCTATTCTTTTTTCATCTTCTTTTGGAGTTAGAAGGGACCATAACATACATGAAGGATACAATGGTGCTAACAAACTGAACACAGTAGGCCCAAGTCTAATTTATCTGCTTACAAGCCAGATATGTGAGCACTTACATGGATATCTGCTAATTCGTGCTAACAGTCATAGTAATAAAAGTATGGTAATAATCATCAAGAGACAAATAAAATGTTAGTCTGTAAGAACAATGAATTGTGAATCAAGGGATAATTTAGTATTCAGACAAATCTCTCAAAAGGATGGAAGAAAGGTCACATTAAGAGACTCAAAACTAGCAGCCAAATGTGGCTCAGGCAGCAGTGACTATATACAAAACTTTGAATCTTACCCGGTGATTCAAAAGAGAACAAATTAAATTGACTAGAACAGTTTTGTAACCTGATGAAAACATGTTTATGTCCACTCTAAACTGGGATATTGTATCAAGGAGCTCTCTGGGAATTGACTGACTTTTGGATCAAGACTCAAGGGGTCATCAGAGAAACTGCAATTTCTGGTTCCTCTTGTGTTTGCTTTTATTTTTAGCCTGTGAAGACCCTTGGGAGAAATCTTCTTGCTCCAAGAACCTGGTGGGCTAAGGTTGTAAGTAAGTTTAAAACGATATGGCAACCTCTGGTGTCAAAAAAGAAGGCAATGAGGATACGTTAAAAAAAAACAAAAAAAAAACAGTTCCTTGAGGGTCCACTTGATACTGGCAATGCAAGACAAAAAAAGATTCCCATTAGAACCAATTTTAAAATGCCAAAATAATAAATTATGTGTAGACAAATGCATTGTTTTGTTATTGTTATTTATGGTATTTTCTTCATGAATTTTGAATTGGACTTTATTTAATAGGTTTAGAAAAAAACAAAAAAAACACGAAAAAGGAAATTTGAAAAAAAAAAAGAAGTGACATTCACATATTATACATTTGAATTCTGGTTGAAAAAAAATTCACTGTTTTGTTATCCTATCCTCCAATAACAGTCAATTTGAGCCTTTCATTTCAAACAGAGGTGTTTACAGTAACACAAAAATCAAATTTAATCCATTTATTAATTTAGTTATGTAGTTAAGATTACAAATAATCCATATTTTACCCTTTATGAAGCATCTGATGACTGATACATTCAGTTTCACAGGATAGTACTCGGATACTATTTTCAGAAACTCGTATAGCACAGAGAAGAAAAATCGTTTAAATTACAAGAGAAGCTCGTATCAATTACATCGCTGAATGCCTGCGCCTCTGAATCTCAGACTGATTCAGAAACTCTGGCCAATCCCGAGTCACGTGACCCAACCACCGGCAGCGACTGCGAGCGCAAAAGCTTGGACGCAGAGCCTCGGTGCATACCAGCCTGCACACCACCAACCACCACCTCTATACGCCTCATTTCTTTTTAATTGAAACCTTTTACTCCCTCTCGGTGAGTACATTTTCCACTGACATTTTCTCACGCATATTTTTGTCCTCTTTTTCTTGCTTTCTTGTCTTGGTGTTGCGACATGGGGAAACTGTTTTCTCGTTTTCTGCATGCAGTGATTTAAATCTTTGGATGCTGAGTGTTGTTGCTCCGGCGACATCCACTGAGAAATCTCCCTACGTGCCTGTGGACGCTCTTGATATTTTCCCCCCTTTCCTTTCTCTCTTTCTCTTCTCCACCCGAAGCAGCCTCTTTGCGAGCTCAGGTGTTATCATCCCAAACCTTTTGCTTATTTTCAGGCTTTTTCTCCGTTATCATGGCTTGTTTTGGAGCTGTTTTGGTGCTTTTCTCTGATCTTGCAGTGTTTCTCTGGTGTTGGAGACTGTGCGTCTCCGAGGGCGCAAAAATAACAGTTTTGATTTTCTTCTTTGAGGATTTTGCTTTTCTAATAGGTGAGGAATTCAACTTTCCTGGAGTCTGTTTTGGCATTTCCTTTGTACTTCTTAATGCAGCCTCAACGAGTGACGGAAACTTTTTTGTTTTTCAAAACGAACAGCTCGGACTGAACTGGATTTGTGCTTAATTTTCAAATTGTTTTATAGATCTTTCAATACATGTAGAAATGTCATTAATACTCAGCAGAAGCACAAATAACCATCTATAGTCATGTTGCTTTTAAATGACTGATTGAAAGTGATCAAATAAACCAAAGAAAGCAGGATATTTGTCCCTCAAAGTTGCCTTTCAGAGACAAAAATTAGAAACATTTCAAACAAGTATAATGAATGCAAATCACTGCTGTGCAAAACAAAACAAGAGCAACAACAGATTCCTGCCAATTGAACCAGACACAGCTGTGCTCCTCCGCCCTCTTTCTCCTGCTACACACACACACACACACACACTCACACACACAAACCTTGTGTCATATGTGAGTGTGATAACTGGCGGATACACCACAAACACACACACAGAAGCTTGGAAACTTAAACCTGCTGAATGAGTCAATGGGGAGGAAGGTGGGGGGTGGGGGGTGGGGGGGGAGAGGGTTGGGGGAGGGAGTTGTTTAAGGCTTTGGCAATTTTTGCAGCAGCTCATTATGCAAATCAAGTTGATAGATTTTGATGAATATTTTGACCTTGACATGCCGCCAGAAGTTAGCCGCAAACCCACAGGCGACAAATTAAAAAACACAAAAAATCTCCTCAAATTAGCAGTTCCCCCCAAAAAAGACTGCAGGATTCACCTCTGGGTTCATCCTTCTCCAAAGTTTGTTTTTGCGGTCTTTAAAAAAAGGAAAAACCTTTCAATCACTCTCAACAGATACAAGTGAATTCATTTGACAGCTACTCCAGCCTTCAGACTTTGCAGGTCAGGGAACAGGTGGGGGAAGTCGAGCATGAAATGTGTTGCTACGCAAACAATACTTATCTCTGCTGGGGGATGAAGTGGGAGACTGGTTCTGGAAACGCCAGCCTATATATGCATGCATTGAATCCCATATGAGCCCAGAGGGGAGCGTATAGGAAGGAAGGTTAGGCATAAAGTTTCCAGCATTTCGGGTTCGGTCAGTAATCTGTCCCCGCTCAGCCTTCTGCACCCGTGGGCTCTGGGATGATCATTGACCCTTAGCAGGTGTAGGACGTGGGGGCCGCCTCAAAGCCACGCACCACAGAGTCCATCTTCTGAAAGATACGGATGAAAAACATTTTTGAGCTGCTCCAGCTTTCAGACTTTAGGTCAAAGAACAGATTAGGGGAGCTGCTTCTCTCGGTTTTCTTTTTATATCCCTGCATGTGGAAGATAACCAAAGAGAAACACACACACACAGGAGGCAGTAGACAAAAAAAGACTGTACAGAGTAAAAAACAGTGTTTCTCTGGGGTGAAAAACTTGCAAGACATCCACATATATGTTAGCAACTTCTCATAGAAAAGTTCTGTTACATTTTGTATTTTGCGATACCCACCACTTCTTATTAGAGCTTCTATTCTTGGATTCATAGGCGAACTTCCACGCCTGCGTAAGTCATATTCAAAACATTTTCAGTCGTTTTTTCAGAAGTTTAGATAAACTACTGCCACAGCCTATGCATGCACCTGATGCTCCGTTTCGTTGTGATGCCTGCCATTAGCCCGGCAGCGTCGGTATCTCAGCACCACGGCCAGCTCTCTTTTTTTTTTTTATTCTCCCTTCAAAGAGATTGTGCCTGATTTCAGCACCATGGACAGCTGCCAGTGCTTTATTGCTCTGGCAGCTGGAGCGAGCTGATTCTTGCCTGGAAGTCTAGAGAGTCTCTTCTCACTAACCCCTGCCCTCTCCACCACACGCGTCTTATTCTGAGCTATTTCAAGCTCACTTCCCTTTATTCAAGAGGTTGAAACAGAGGTTGAACCCTAGATAAAGAGCTAAATGATAACACTTTCACAGAAGGACTCCCTGTATTATTTAAAGTTGTGAAAAAAAAATGTACTCAATCTTATTCAAACCAAAAGTGGATTCAATGTTATATTGAAATATATTTGTACAACAGCTGTGTTGTAATTTAACAAAATAAGAGTTAAATATACCATACATAGCTACATAAACTACCAGCAGGAGAGCTGAATGGACAAATTGCTGTCAAACCAAAAATGATGAAACACTGTATTCTTTGAATGTAGCTTTAATTACATGAATATATTATTGGACAAAGTTTATATTGTACATAGTCAGGATAATGATTACAAATACCCAGATGTAACAGGCTACACCTAAAATGAACTTAAGGTTGCTGGATTTTTGTTAACTTGCAGAAATAGTTTGGTTATTGTTTATATTTTCCAAACTGAATCTAAACCCACGATCTTGTGGAGTAACACAGCAGAAACGGTAATAGGGGTATTTATAGGATAGTTCAACATACCAGTTGGGTTATAAATTGGTGTTGATGATATTTAGTGTATTTGTTGTCTCATTAAACAATAAACCACCAGCTGTGATGGGCCAGCTGCACCGAATAAACCTCAGTTTCTCACTCCTGTTTTAACACTATCAAAGCCCTTTTTTATGCTATTAAAGTTTTCTAACGGAGAGTTTTTCATTATCAGAGTTAATTTAAGATCTGTCATCTGTGATATCCCACAGTTGTCTCACACAAGTTTGTGCAATCCTCTGTAAAGTTAGACTTGATTACTACATTGTATTTTCCCAACATAATTCAATGGTGGTTCGGTGGCCTGTTGGGCTTCCTGCCAGAAAGATATTTTCTCTTTCATGCAGGAGACTGCTCTTTGAGTTCTGTCTTTCTTTTGTATACAAGTGTTTGTTTAGCACATCAAATTGACTACAAAACTATAATACAGATAAGACAGACGTGATGAAGGATTCACAATCAATAGACAGAGAGAACAGGAAAAGAACCTCTAAAAGATTAAAACATGTGCTGTACTTAAAAGGCTGCCCTTAAAAAAGAATGCATGAACAACATGGCAGTATAATATCTCATTCAAATACAAATGCATCTGCATACACATTTACTGTTGAGGCCAGCCTTAGAGACTCTCCACCTTCCAGGAAGGTAGTACTGTGGGGTAACCTTACAGAGTGTAGAGAACTGTTCCCATGTCGCAGGTCAGTTTAAATAAGTATTCAAGGTGCATATTCAATTAATAGCCATGAACATTTTCTTTTTATGTATACTTTCTGCATCTCTTATGGTCTAGTTGTGCTCTGTGTAAAATCAAATGCAGAAGTTTGGTCAGATTTCTGGATAGATTATTGAGGTTTGTGTAAAATGAAATGAATGTTTGGTTTCACACGGGACACAAACTCTTGTACATTATCAATGTCTGTTTGTTTGATCCAGTTTTCCACCCAAACCTCCTCCCTTAAGAGCTTTGTCCCTCTTTAAAGTACACCATCTGCTTTAAGATCATAAATAGGGTTGCAGTTGGTCCAGTTAAGGCCTAAACAAATACAACGGGGAAATGACAACTGATGTTATAAATGAAATGTCATTTAAATGTCAAATGACAATAATAAGCTTTTCTCTAATGACTACAAATACTCTGACAGTCTATTTTTGGTCAATCCAAAGCATGCATCACTGCTACTTAAAATACTCAGTATCAGACCACCAATCATGTATTAATCCAATGCTGAAAATAGTCCCCAATCAATACACTATTTATTTTTATGTGAGTAAGGTTTGCAAAATCTACAGAGTCCTGCAGACTGAGGAACTTATTTATTTACCCGCCTTTTCTATTAACTACGGTATATGTTTAACACTTTTATTGTTAGCGGAAGGTAATGAGCTAAGGGGTTTGAACCACAGACTGGTTTGACTAACGTGACGAAGATGGAGTTAAAAACAAGTGTCTGTCTTTTCATGAGATTTATTGGATTGTGCAGCAGCTTTTTCTTTTAGAAAAAACAAACCTGCAATCTAGCTTACACAGAAGGATCGGAAGTACAGTATGTACTGTAGCAGCTGTTGCATTGTTTTCTAAAGAACAATGTAACATATTGACTCAAATGTACCATACAGTTACTCTCTGACACAGTCCCAGCTTAAATGAGACACTGTGAGCTTTAACAATGTCACATGTGTTGCATGGATATTGGTTTGGATTGCGTTATATTGTCAGGTGTAACTGCTATGAAATGTGTGAAAAAAGATACAAGGGAGACAATGGATCTGTGAGACTAGAAACCTTTTATTTTTGTCTGGATCTTTCCAGGTCCTATACAGTCAATGTTGGTTTCAAATGTGCGTTGTTTATCCGTCTTGATGTAGCATGGATTCACTCTACTGTCACTATGTTTGCTGAATCAGTTTATGTAATACAAAAAACTGAATGCATTACCAGCTTTCAATGTTTAAAAGCAGAGCAGAGCATATTTAACCATTTGAATTGCAAATTGTTCACAAAATGAAACCATAATCAATTCTTAGTTGTGTTGTTTTTGAAATTCGTGTTCATGTTGAACTCATTAAGTTTCATGCATATTAAACTCTC